CGGGCGACAGGCCCCACTTCCACAAAACCGGCCCACTGCCCAGACACAAATGGGGGCAACAGGAAGGAGGCACCTCCTGCCACACGGGAAGCCATCCTCTGCCCTCGGAAGCCCTTCACCCCGCCAGGCCTGGGCCGGGCAAAGCGGGCTCACTCCCTGGGAAAACGCAGGCTCCCCTCCCAGCTCAGCTCCAGGCTGGCCCAGCCGAGGACAGCTCAGGACAGTGGTGTGTGTTGCTCATCCGCCCTCATGTTGCCAGGGCTGTTTCCAAAGGGATTATGTGTGGAGGCAGGTCAAGGGGGGTTCAAGAGGTTCTTCGTCACCCCACAGGTCCCCAAGCCAGCCAGGGTCAGAGCCAGGGCAGAACCCAGGGATCCAGGCCCAGCGCTGACTGCTCCCCACCCCAGTCACTACCCTGCACTGCCTGACGCCTGCCCTGAGATAGGAAAGACCAGGTACTCTGTGCAGGCACCTGGATTCCGGTGGGCCCATGTGGCATGAGTGGTGTGCTCTTGGTCCACCAGCAGACACCAAGGCCAGGTGGGAACAGGTAAAAGGCACCTGGGCTTGGTGATGAGGAGGGGGAAGGAAAGGAAGGGGCCCCAAGGTCTGGGCAGGATCCCTGCCTGGTGCACCCTCCCTCCTGGCGGGCTGGAGAGGACCTGCTGAGGTGCATCACAGGCACTGAGAAGAGGTCAGGCCAGTTGCTCCGCCCCACGTTCCTCTCTGTCCCGCTGTTCCAGCTGACCCACAGCTCTGAGCAAGGATCTTGTGGGGTCCCTGCGACCGTGAGCCCAGACCCAGTGTCTCTGACCTCCCATAGCACCGGACGGATGACGCATGTGGCTCAGGCTGCTAGCTGCACACCCCCTTGCTGTACACACAGCCTGTAAGGTGCAGACCACCTTGTGGATGCACCACACCCCCCCACACACACTGTCTAATGTGTGTGCACACATACGCTGCATGCTATACACCATCTGCTGTACACAGAACACCCCCACACTGTCTGGTGCACACACACACACCCTGGGATGTATACCACCTGCTGTGTGAAGTACCACCTGCTGTGTATACCACACCCCCCACAATGCCTGATGCACACGCGCGCGTGCGCGCACACACACACACACACACACACAGTCTGCTGCACACCCCCTCCTATATATACGGCCTGTAAGGCACCACCGGCCATAAACACTGCACCACACACACTGCCCTGCACATAGCACATAGGGCCCTACCCCCACAGCGCCGCCTGCAGTGTCCATGACCACCTGCACCTGCACCTGCACCCAGAGCCCTCAGAGCCAGGCCCCCAGGGCAGAATCAGAAACAGCTCACCCCTGCCCCTCAGCCCATGCATCCTCCATCTCCCCTTCCTTCTTGGCCATTCCATAACCTACTCAAGTTACCAGGGCCCTGCTGCACCCCTGCTGTCTGGCCTCCTCTGGGGCTCTCCTGACCACTGGCCTGCCTGGCCTGGAACCCACAGGCCCAGAGAAATCTGTGCCCTCCACACTGAGCTCCAAGAACCTCATGCCCCCCCACCAACCCCTGGAGGGAGAGGCCAAGAAGCAAGGCCTGCCTCCCCTCCCCCTCTGCTCCCCCTCTGTAAAGAGGGAAAATGTCAGCTTCCCTGTTCTCAGTGGTGGATGCGGGGTGGGCTGGAGGGGGAGTGATTCAGCCGCCTCAAGAGTGTGGAGCGAGAAGAGCTTTTCCTGCCATTACCCAGCGAGAGAGAGGCTGGCTCGCTAATGGCTTCAATTACCACTCAGACAGGAACACTGGGCGGCAGGCTCTGCGCTCCTCACAGTCCGGGACGGGCTCGCCCCCAGCCAGCCAGTGCTGCTGAGCCGCTGCCTGGGTGCCACAGGGCAGCAAGGGCCCTGCCTGGGGAGCTGGGTGCAAAGGCCAGGGTCCGGGACGCTCCCAGAGGCACCAGCGGAGCTGAGTGAGAGGGCAGCCGGCCCCAGTGTGCAGCAAGGCAGCGCAGGGGGCACGGGGCAGACCTGCAGGCCTGGACGCCCTTTTAGGGGCATGCCCACCCCTCCCCTGAGCCAGGTCCCCCTGGGCAGCCCTCGGCCACTCCCCTGAAGAGCTCAGCTTGGGGCGAGGGGCCCTGGCCCCAAGCACCAGTCATCCCTAAACAGGGTTTCGGGACCACATGGGAGGCCCTGGGCCGGGGCAGTGTCTGGTGGCGGCTGTCACAGCCGGGGCTGCTCCCCTCCGCCCCGCCCCCTGGCACCTTTGAGGCCTCCCACTCCGCTCTTTTCTGCCGAGCCCAGAGCCGGTCAAGGTTACACAGACCAACACGGCAAGTCAGCACTTAGTCTTCTGGGTGCTGTGTTTCAGGGGCAGGAGGGGCTCCTTCAGGCCCACAGCTCCACCCCCACCCACACAGGGAGCCCGGGTCGGACAGGGACCTGCCCCGAGCGCTCCGCCACCTCACCAGACACCCCCCACACCCTAGAAACACAAACACACCCCAGATCCTGCTAAAGAAACCCTGATCCAAGAAGACCCCTCGGGATGGAGAAACCCCTTGAAAGTCTGAATCCCCCTCCTCTCAGGCCCTGGAAGCCCACCCTCACCCTCCTCAACCCTTCAAAAGTTGAAGCGGCCCAGGGCAGTGGTGGGGGTAGAAGAGTGTCCACAGAGGACCTGCGGGGAGAGCCCGGCTAGAGGTAGGGCCTGGGGCTCTGGGGGCACTTCTCCTCCAGCACTGAGGGGGAGGAGGCCCTTCCCCCAGTGTGAGGGCCTGAGAAGACGCCGTCTGGGCAGCAGCCACAGTCCGTCCGGCCTTCCCGCCAGGTCCCCAGTGCCAGGGCAGATGGCTTCCTGCCGGGGCAGATACCAGCAGGAGGTGGGCAGTGCTGGAATACCTGTCCTCAGGTCACGAATGGGGACACTGAGGTCAGGGGTGGCAGGGTCAGAACACGCAGCAATCAGTGACCCTGGCCCAGGGCCTGTCCTCTGGGTCCCTGCCCCACAGGTAAGTGCCCCCCGTGGGAGTAGAAGGTAAGGGCGGCACCACCCAGATACTGCCAGGGTGGATACTACCACCACGGACGCCAGGCACTACCAGCTCAGATGCCTGGGCCTCAGGATGTGCGGCTTCCAGCCCAACCTTCCAGCAGCTGCCTTTCATGGCAGAATCCTGTGACGTGCTCAACTGCATCATATTTCATCTTCCAAACCAGCCTGGGCAGCAGGAATTACATGTACACCTGTGAACGCAGGTGGAGCACATGAGGCGCAGAGGCATAGTTCGGGCCGAAGGTCATGAGGTGAGAGCATAAGGAGTCAGCCCCTGCTGTTGGCCACTGTCCTCCACGGCCCCTGGAAGCTGGGGGGCCCCGCCCCGTCTCGCAGGAGACACCTGGACCAAAGGAATTTCTGAACGGGTGCGTGCGTGAACCCGTACAGCCACAGTGTGCAAATGGCCATGGCGAAAATATGCTCCACCGCTCTTGTAATCAAAGAAATGCAAATTAAATTGAGATGTCATTTTTTGCTTATTAACTTGGCAAAGATATTTTTTTAATGCTAATTCCCACTGCTGGCAAGGATGCGCGGAAAAGAGCCCTCTCGTGACCTGCTCGGTGAGAGTATAAACTGACACAATCTTCTGGAAATACTGAGAACCTTACAGATGCACGTGCCGTTTTGATCCAGCAATTCTACTTCCCAGAATCTAGAAGAAGGAAACAATCAGGAAGGTGAACACTTCACATCCGCATGGACGTGTCCAACACCCTATTTATAAAAGCGGAAAGCTGGGAACGCTGTCTCTGTCCAACAATAAGGGAACGGCTAAATAAATTAGGGCCCTTCCATGCGACACTCACGCACAGCCATTAAAAATAATGATGCAGAAGAATACTTAATGAAGAAGAAGATGTTCGTGATATTTTTTTTTTTAAAGCAGCCCACAAACCACTGGGCAAAATGTGATCCCACTTGTGTTATACGGCACACACAGAAAACAGACTATAAGGAACAAACCCAATCTTTTTAGCAGAGGTAAGATAACAGGCAACTGTTATTTTTCCCCATGTGCCATTTTTCACTTATCAAATTTGTAATAGTGAACAGGTATTGTTGTTGTAACTTCTTTTAAAGCAACAATGGATGCTGTATTTTGAAAACACGCGCAGACACCCTCAGACCGACGGACGCACTGTGCTGGGGGCTGGCCGCGTCCCGCTCCACCCCGCTCCTCACCTCCCATTCCCCAGGAACCTGTCCGGTTCTTCCCCCTCTTCTCTCTGAGCCCTCCAGCTGCACACACCCTCCAAAACAGCTCCACTCTCTCCTGCCTCTGGGCCTTGGCACACCGACGCCACTCCTCCTGCAAGGGCGCCACCCAGCTTCCACTCATCCTCGGGGTGCAGCTCAGACAGCAGCTCCCCACCCCGCCCGCCTGTCCACCCCATGCTCCCTAGCCCTCCGGGCCGCCCCCACAGCACTCAGTGGACACTGAAGTCCTGAAGGCCTGGTCAGATGATCCTCTGGACACGAGGCAGCATTTGGGAGAGTTTGTGAGTGCATGGAGCGGCCACTAAGTGAGAGAAGACACTAAACTCCACACCCAGAGCCCCGCCCCCCATCCAGGACCCTTGCCGCAGGAACACAGCTCTCTGAAGCCCACCAGCAAGCCCACGTGAAAATCCGGTCCGCTGCCACAAACCACGTAAGCCAGGCAGTGCACCGCGGCAGCCCCGCCTCAGGTCAGACCCAGACGTGCCCGGGCCGTGCCCGCCTCAGCAGACTGCAGAGACACGAGGCACGCCGCTGCCTCAGCACAAGCCAGCCAGACAGTCCAGGCTGAATCCGACGACCACCCTCGTCCATCGCTGGCCTTCGTCGAGCCCAGAATAGCCAGTTCTCCCTTCTGCCAAACACACTCCGGCCCACGGCAGGGACACGGGTGGCTAGCTGGTCCTGCCCAGACACCAGTCTGCCCGCCCCCTGCCATGTCCCTCCCCAGCACGCACCTTCCAGCACCGAGAGCTTGGCGCTCGTGTTGATCTCTCCCAGGCTGTTGGTGGCCGTGCACTCGTAGATGGCTTCGTCGCGCTGCGCCCGTAATGGCTGGATCCGCAGCACGGACCCTGCCCCGTCGTCGAACTCGATCACCTGCCGGAGGACGGACACCTGGTCACGACTTGCTCGGAGTCAGCCATCCTCCAGCCTCCAAACCCCCCCCTGCCCCGGGGAGAGAGACCCAGGGAGCGGACACAGGACCCGACTCCAAAGCAGGCCCACCCGGGGCCCCATCTGCCCCTCCTCACCCGGGGACGTACCTCGAAGCGCTGGGAGCTGACTTTCTTCCCCTTCTTCATCCATGTGATGCGCGGCTTGGGTTCCCCTGTGGCTTGGCACACGAAGGAGGCCACCCCTCCGGATAGCCCAGTCTGGTCCTCAGGGACCTTAACGAAGGCAGGTTTGCCTGGAGAGATGGAGACTCCAAGTCACCACAGCATAGCCAACACTAGGTGGCAGTCACGAGGTGGTGGCAAAAAAGATCTATACAAGAAATAATAGTAGCGATCCACACCCTTGCACAGTGCTTACTAGGTGCCAGGTGCTCTTTAAAGAGCTGTAGGTACATGAGGTGGGTGCTGCAATTACTTCTGCTTATAGAGAAGGAAACTGAGGCACAGAGAGGTTGAGGGATTTGCCCAAGGTGACACAGCCAGCAGGTGGCAGAGCTGAGATTTGAACTCAGGCGCCAGGAGTCTGGAGTCCACGTTTGAACCACTACACGTTGGTCCCCGATGCTGCCCATCAATTCCAAACTCTAGGACAAAGGCACGCTGAGAGCTGCTCAGAACAGCCCCAGCATCTCCCCCAGACTCGTCTCTCCCCAACTGCGTTCCACCTTGGTGATGGTACCCCATCTGCCCCAAGGCTCAGGCCAGACACTGAGACTCCTCCTCTCCTCTGGCCCCCACGTGCCAGCAGTCCCCAAGGCTTAGACCTTCTAAGCATCTCTGGACATTTTCCCAGGTGAATGCTTTCCTGTAAATCTGCCCTTCCACCCTGCCCCCACTGACGGGATTACTGCCTTCCGGCAGCCTGGACAGCCTGGACGTCTCCCCAAGTGTCCACAGGGAGGCAGGGGAAGAGGAGAAGGGAGGGGGCGCAGACACTGTCCTGCCACGCCCACATCACCTGGAGCCCACTTGGAGCGCCTGTCCCGATGAATCCCACTGCCCAGGGTCGCAGGACCAGAGCAACCCGGCCCTCACTGAGATGCAGTAACACCTCGTTAATCCTGACAGCAGATCCATTTCATATTAATCAGGCCAATGAACAGCTCCAGGAAGGCTAATACCGTGAGAAATGACCTTTCAGTCCACCTGCTCAGTGCTGATGCATCCAGGCTTGGCCTGGTCCCTGGCAAAGAAACATGTGTGTGCAATGATGATAATACTTCGCTAAGCACCTACTCTGCACGAGGTACTTTGTCTCATTTAGTCCTTCATTATCATTATCCCATTTACAGGCTCAGAAAGGTCAAGTCACTTGTCCAAGGTCACACAGCCAATGGAGCGGCACATCCAAGACTGGAATTCAAGCCTGCTTGTTTCCAAGGGGCCAGGCATGAAACCATTCACAGGGTGTGGCCGGAGGCCTTGTCAAGAGCAGGGTCAGTGGCATGGTGGGAGCCAGGCCAGACCAAAGAAGGCCAAGGAGTAGGAGCTGCAGCGGAGAGAGGGGCTAAGTGGTATTCAAACACGATTGGCTGGGACGGGGAAGATAAAGAAATATGGTGCCTGGAGGGGGGAGGGTTGGGGGAGACTTCCACGCATCCATTTCTTTTTTCTCCCCCCCCCCAAGATGTGAAAGGCAGTGTTTAAACGCTGATGGGAAGAAGCCGGCAGAGAGGAAGAGGGTGCCACTCCAGTGGAGAGAGGAGGGACGGCAGATGGGGCATGGTCCCCGATGGAGGGGCGGGTCCAGGGGGACCACCAGGGTCAGGAGTGACAGCTGTGGGGACGAAGGGCAGGGAGGGGGGCCCGTCGGGCTCTGGGGGGTTCACTTAATTATTAAGCAAATCCCTCACCCTCTCTGAGCCTCCATTCTCTCATCTACGAAATGGCGCTGGGGACACAGGCCCGTGCAGGTGAGAGGCGGCGACCTCTGCAGACCGCTTGCACCAGCTGGACACCGGCGGGCCTGGGGCGAGGGCGGCCACCCCTCTCCTGAGCATTACCCGTCTTAAAACCATCCCACGAGGCAGGTTGTATTATTGACCAATTTCTAAAGTGGAGACTCAGGAGGTTAAATGACCGACAAATCTCAGAGTGATTTGCAGGGGAAAGCCAGGGTTTGAGCCGGCGGTCCAAACCTGGAGCTGGGGACTCACCTGACTGTACCGGAAGTCGTTAGAGGGGCAGCTTGGTGGGGGGAGCCACACAAGCCTGGTGGGGACCAGAGTGACGTGGGGGAACACAGAGATTCAGGACGCCTCAGTCTGTCACACCCTGGTCCCGACTGTCCTCTGAAGGAGGCTTTGGACACCCCTGGTCTGCGGCTGTCTGCACAGCCTGTCCCTTTCAGACAGGTCCTCTCAGGCAGCACGCTGCCCACTCAGGCTCCGCCAGGGCAGAGGGCTCTGCCGGTGCAACGCTGCATACACACCACATCCCCCACCTGCACCACGCACACCTGAGACAGCACTGCCACCACCTCAGCCCAGACACCACCCACCCTTCCCTGGCCCCCCCACCAACCTGCCAAGCAGTCTCCCTGCCTCTAGTCTCGCCCCCTCCAGTCTTTTCTTTACTCAGCAGCCAGGGCGAACGGACAGCCTCTCTCCCCTGCTTGAAACTGTCCAAAGCCACCCCCCACCCGCCCACTACTCTCAAAACAAAATTTAAACAATCGTGACAGACAGAGACCTGACAGGTCTGACCCTCGCCACTTTCCCGGCTCCAGAGCCCTGGTTGGCCTCTCAGCCCCTGGATAAGCAACCTCCCCTGCGGCCACAGGGCCTTTGCACGGGCTGTTCCTCCACCACAAACCTCTTAGACTACTCTTTGGCCACTAACTCCTATTCACCTTTCTGAACTCAATTTAAAACACATTTCCTCAGGAAACATTCCTCAGCCCCCCATCCCCACCTCCATCAGGGTGGTTCCTGGTGTCAAGCTCTCTGGTAACTCCATCTGCCTCTCCCACAGCACCGCTCGTGGCGTGCTCTGTAGGTGTGCGAGGTTACTGCTTTGGCTCATGGCTTGTTATGCACATGGGTAAGGTGACTGATTACTTTTTCCACATTTTGGGGAGTATTTGAGTCACGGCTGCTTCCCCACCCAGAACAACAGCCCTCGGCAGGGTAGATACCGGGCCTCCCTGTCGCAGGGCCCGGCCCAGTTCCTGACACGCAGGGTCCGGCACCAGTGAAGAAGCCACTGATGAGAGAAAGCCTGAGGAGGATGGGGTCTGAAGCCCCTCACACATTGTGGGGAGGCGGGGAGGCCCCTCTGCCAGGGAGAGAAGGAGGGGCAGAAACCCTCCTTGGCTCCAGTCTCAACGTGTCTGCCTAGGAGCCAGGGGCTGGAACCTGCTGAACCGGAATGGCCGAGCGAGGGTGCCTGGGGGCGGGGCGGGGCGGGGCCTCGGCACCAAACAAAGAACCAGAAACTGGGGAGTGGCTCCCAGCCAGGTGTGGGTCTAGAGAGAGCAAGAGAAGGAGAAAGGCCTTAGCACTATGTGGAGGCTGGACTGGGCCCAAGGCCTGGGGCCACGGAGGAGGCGGAACACCCCTTGCAGCCTGGAGCAGGGCCAGCGCCCCGCCTGGCTGGCCACCCACCCGCGGGAGGTTGGCAAGCCTATCAGTGCAGCCTGAGCCTGGCACCGCCCAAGGGACAGGTCCCTCCCCGCAGTCTGGCCTCGCCCTGGCTTTCCTCACCTTTCCCCACCCCCCACCCAGGAGCACCTCCCCTAGCACAGGAGTCAAACCAAACTCCTGCGCATCCTCCTCTCGAAGCCCTGCCAGGCCCTTGCCCCTTTGTTCACCAGGAGGACCTCTGGGTGGCAGGAACCTGACCATGTCTCCCCCAGCTCCAAACCCTCTGTCCCTCTGTCCGTCTCCCCGTTCCCCTCCCCGCACCTGCTCCTGCTAACCTCTCCGGGCTCACCCAGCTTGCCTCTTTCAAAGAACAGCACCTGCGATGGGCCACACACTGTCCTGGACCCAGTGGGCTTGGCACCCCCACCCAGGCCGCTCCAACAGGCCAGGTCCCCAGACACCTCCTTGCCTTTGTGCGTGCCCTGCTCCTCTCAGGCGCCGCACCCCGGAGCCCTTGGGGTCGGGGTCCCCATCCGAGCACTGATTGTCACATGCCACGGTGACTGGTCAGGCCCCTGGGCAGGTGCACAAAGCCCGGCGACTTGACCAGTCTGTCCAGTGCTGACCCAGAGCTGGTGTTCAGTGAACGTCTGAACAGAGACCACAAGCCAGGAGGGGCTCTCTGCTCCACCACAGTGTGACTCCCTCAGCCCGACCCCCTCCCCTTGGGGCAACTGCCTCTTCGAGCATGCCCTGGGGCACAGAGGGAGTGGGCTGGCCCCGTAGTGGGTGGGCACACCCCCCAGGGTCCAGGCCTGGGCCACCTCCAAGGGTCCGCCACCAGAGGCTGACTGCTGTTACTCTGCCTTCCCTGCAGAGCAACCCTACACACGACACACACAGCACACGGAAGCAGAGAGCAGACACGCAGCAGCAGTAGCCAGGGACTGCCAGGCAGGGGCGGGAGCTCCCGGAGAGGTGATTTCCCAGGCCCTGAACCGCCTAATGAGCTGGGGACTCATTAGTGCTGGCTCCTGTGACTGCTCCACGCCCCGCCCCAAGAAGCCCACTCAGAGACAACCCTGGGCTCCAGGGGACACTCAGGGAGCCCTAGGCCATGGCCTCCCATGGAGGGAGCATGTACTACGTGCCAGGCGCCGTGAACAGGTGACCTCAGTCAACCTTTCCAGGTAGGAGTGATCACCCTCATTGCGCAACAGGAAGACGGGCCCTGAGAGAGAAAGCAGCCTGCTGGAGTCCCCAGGGGACGGAGTCTAGACGGGACTCCGGGCCCTCCACACCCGTGAGGACGCGTGGAAGCGCGCTGCAGAGCTGCATGCAGCACCCCGCCGCCGTGTTCCAGCCCCACAGGCTCTGGAGGAGGGGGCAGGGGAACGACGTGCCAGACGCATCCTCAGCTACTCAGGCCCCGGCCCCCACCCACCACCTACCCCTCCAGCCACCCGGCATCCTGCGCTCGGATGCTGCGGTTCGAAGTGACTGGGCCGTAGCCAGGTCCTGCATCCTTGACTGTCCCACATGGTCTGGGGACACAAGGAGGACGGGACTCACGGAGGATCTCCCAGGAGCTCCATAAAGGAGCCCAGGCCCATGCCTGCTTCTTCCCCCAGTCTCCTCTCCTTATGCAACACCCCCATTAGCAAATGCCCACTCACCCTTCAGGGACCCCCTCTTCCAGGAGGCCTCCCAAGATGCTCAGGCTACCGCCTCTGTGCCAGCGCGCTCCCGACACGGCACCCACAGCAGGAACCCACGCGCAGGTTCCAAAGGCAGGCCTGTGTTCTTCCCACCCCCACACGCGGCAGATCAGCAGAAAACTCTTCCTACTCAGGACCACCTCTGGCCCCACAAGACTCCCCCGTGAGAAGCCACAAAGCCTCACATGGTAGTGGGTGGGCAGTGGGTGGGCTGGTAGTGGGTGGGCTGGGGACTGGGGAGCCTCCCAGGCCCCACAAGCCCAGGTCCCGACCAGAGCTGACTCGGCACTGACGTTGGGGCATCTGGGCCGACTCTCGCAGCTGCTTCCCCACCCCACCCCCGCCCTGCTCCCCTCAGAGGCCAGAGCCCCCATTCATTTGTCTCGTTAAGAGGCCCACAGAAACGCATTTGTCCACTCCACGCTTCACTGCGCCGGTCGTCAATTCTCTGGGGTGCCTGCCCTACCTTTCATCGCAGCTCTGGTGGCGTTTGCTGCTCGCCGCTGGCTAGAGGTCTCCCAAGCCCAGCTCAGCCCTGGCCACCACTGGGGGACAGACCCAAAAGTGTGTGCAGCGTAAGGCGAGCCTGGAAGACAGACCTGTCTCCCAGGCCAGATCACCACCGCCACTGGCCCAGGCCCGTGTCCCACATTCCTCTCTGCCTGGAAGCAGAGGCTAGCCCACGTATTTCAGAGTCTCCGGCTGGTTCCTGCCTCCCAGACCCTGACCTTCGGGCTCTGATCTTTAAGGACCAGCACGAAGGGTCTTGGACTCTGCTCTAAAAACTGTTCTGCTCTGCCCCAGCTCCTACTGGGGGACCAGGCCTGACGCCACCCCTTCACTCACCGACTACACTCCAGGACCTGAGCTGGACAGTGGCCTGACCCGCCAGAACTCACAGCCCAATGGGACAGGCAGCCCCAAAGCAGACGGCCACAGTCACACACTCTGGTAGAGCACAGAGGGGCAGCACCTGGCCCATGCTCCCGGAGGAGGTGATGGCTCCAGATGAACGGGAACCGGGCAGGGGAACGGGGTGGGGAAGAGGGTTCCAAGCAGAGAAAACGAGAGGACCAGAGGCCTGGGGAGAACACGAGCGACTGAGAGCAGGCAGCATGGCCGGGTGTGGGGTGGGAGGTCAGAGGGCAGGACGAGGTCAGCAGACGCTGGACAAGCAGGGCCTGAAAAAGGCCTGCGAGCCCTAGGCTTGATCCCGAAGGCAAAAGGGAGGAGAGCGCAGGGTTTTAAACTGAAGGGCGACAGGATCAGGCTTTTGTTTTGTAACGTGACTTTTACTCCGGAATGAAGAGCACATTATGAGAAAAGAGACTGGAGGCTTGGAAGCGATCAGGAGCCGTTGCATACAAAAGCTCCAACCAGAGCTGAGGGTGGCTTGGGTGAAGGGAGCAGAGAGAGAAGTGGATGCATTCCAAAGATATTTAGAAGGGAGAAACAACAGAACTTGGTGATGGATTAGATGTGGGGTATGAGAGCGAGGCGGCTGGGAGGAGGCCCAGGTTTCTGACTTGGGCGGCCGGTGGGTGGCAATGCCATTCGCCAGGAGAGAAAACAGGAAGACGAGCAGGTTGGGTGGGGGGTGGGGGTGAGGGGTGCAGGCTGGGGCACGTTGGGTCTGCAGCAGGAGGAAAAGGCAGTTCTTCCCCCAGGAGGTGCTGACTCTGAAAGCCCAGCTGAGCAGCAGCACCCCCACCCCCCCACCTTCAAGCTCCCTGTCTGAAGGCCCTGAGAGTGGCCAGGGTGGGGGTGGGGGAATGTCCAAGGCAAATGACCACACCTGACTCTCGAAGAGCCTTCGCCTCCCTGCCACTGTGGGAAGTCACACGCGATGACTGTCTACCCCAACCTGTCCCTGCAGGCTCAAGCACTACCTAACCGCTTGGAGATCACCCCCACTCCCTAACCCCACCCTAGTCGGGCCTGTCCAGCCCTCCCACTGCCAGCACCTCAGTGCTCCCATTACCCCTCACCCCCATGCACTCCCCTTCTTCTTGCCCTTCTAGCCCCACCAGGACCCAGCCAGGGAGGACAAAGGGCAGGAGCTCCAGTCCAACCCCTCTCCGGATCTGGTCCTGAATAATTAATAAGCCTCTGGAGAAAGGGCCTGGGTGGGGCAAGGAGAGAATATCTTTGCCTACAGACTTGGGGTGGGGGGGGGTGGGGGGAGCCCTACTGCCTGCTGACCCCCAGGGTGACCCCTGGGTTGGCCCTCTGCCACCTCTGGGCTCTGCACAGGCTGGGAACATCCCCTTTTCCCCCAGGGACCTTGGCTCCGACCCCGCCCCTCCCCCTCAGTGTGCAGATTGGCTAAATCAGCCCTGTGCCCCGCCTCCTACCAGTAACCAAGCAGTGGTAACCATGGTGATGGGGCGGGCTGCGGCCAGTCTCACAGTGCCAGGCAGGGGGAAGGGCGCAGGAAAGGGACCAAAGTTCGGAGTTGGATCTGGGCAGGGGACAATTCCACTTCCCCCAACACACACACAGAGGGGTGCTGGAGACCATCTTCCTCTTGGCCAAGTGCAATCTCCCCCGGCCTCCCCGGGACTGAGGGGCTGGGAGAGGGGGACGCTCCTTTGCCTTGAAGACCCAGGGGAGAGGGGAAAGGAGGGGCTGTGCCTTCACACCTGGATACCCCGGGTGCAGCGCCGGGGCAGTGCTATGATGGCTCTGCCTTCGGGGTCCTCCCTGGATGTGTGGACACAGGTGGCATCCATTCTCAGGTCCACACGCATTCCTCACATGCTGCCTGCCCGCCCCCCTTCCCATGCCAGTCTGACAGGGCCTCCTGCACAGACCTGCAGCGGTGCACACGGCGCAGGCCCGAGCACATCGCCCAGTGACCACATGAATCCCACTCGGGTCTCACCCCTAGCCCATAAAAGGGAGTCACGCTTAGACACGCCCAGCCCCGCAGTGTCTTAAGGGACATGCAGGCAATTCCACGGGATGCACCTGGGAAGCAAGGAGCTGGGTGCTTCCTGGATAGGGGCTCTCCGTGTCAGGGGGTTCTCTCTAGGACAGAGAAAGGTCTGGAGAGGCACCTAGCCATCCTGTCTTTCCTCGTAGCTGGTCCTGCCCCCATCCCAGAGTCCTGCTATGAGGGACACCGCCACCTTTTGACCTGGGAGATCCCACACCTCAAGGGGTCAGACTTACTGTCGCCGTGGGCGCCCGCCACCAAACCAAGCATCACAAGTGCAGGCACAAGGGGCACCATCGTCCTCCCTGGGGCTGGTTCAGGGGCCATCCAGGAGTCCAGCACCACGGCCAGCCACAGCCCAGGACAATCGACCTGTGACGGAGAGAAGGGCGAGCCAGTCAGCTGGTATTCTCCAGGGTCTCTGCGGCCCACCCATGCCACCTCCTGGCCTTCCTCCTCACCCAGACCCCTGCTCATCCTCACTGATGACGGATCATCATCCACAGCCCAGTTCAACAGACCCGGCCCCCCGCCAGCTATACAATGATCACCGATACCTTTTTTTATTGTAAATATTTTTATTTATTTTAGTTTTAGAGAGAGGGGAAGGAAGAAAGAGAGGGAGAGAAACATGAATGCTTCTTGCGTGCCCCCCACCAAGGCCCTGGTCCACAATCCAGGCATGTGTCCTGACTGGGAATTGAACCAGCGACGCTTTAGTTTATAGGCTAGCACTCAACCCACTGAGCCACACCAGCCGGGCTCACCCATACCTTCTGACCCCTGTGACCACTCAGGCTTCTTATAGATCCCCTAGTGACCTCCAAAATAGCCCAAGAGTCACATTGTAAGGTAAGGCCTTCAGGTCATTCCCCAAACCTGAACAGGGGGCAGGGGGCTACCGAGACCGGATGGTGTACAGGGACCCTCCATCCCAGATCTTGAGTTTCCTCAAGAGGGAGCAGGGACAGAGGACCAGGGTCAGAGATACACAGAGACCAAACGAAACGAGACACAGAGAGGGATCAGACAGAAGTTAGAAGGCCCACACAGGCCAGGGACTCCAGAGTCCCTGGGGCACCTGTTCTCCCTCCTCTCCCAGCGGGGAGGAAGCGGGCAGGCGGCCAGACCCCACAGGCTGCGTGCAGACCTGAGCACAGACTTGACAGTGGCGGACAGGATCCAGGTATCAGGGGCTCGAAGTCAAAGCCACAACCTGTCCAGGCTCGCCGGGACTCACTCTTAACAAGCTGCAGCTGCCCACCTGGCCACCCTCATCCTACCCAATTCCCACGGCACCTCCCCACTCCAAAGGGAAGCTACAGGGAGGCCCTAGTGGCCAGGAAGTGGGGGTGCTGAACCCTAGATTCAACCCACCTCCTTGCCCTTGTCCCAGCAGGGGCATGGGCAAACTTCACAGGGCCACATGCTCCAAAGTGCCACCACACAGAGACACAAACCTGTGCAGGGGGAGGACCTCATCTGGGGCGGACCAGGCCTTGCTCACAGGGCTCCTCCCACGCTCCCTCCCGGCTCTACCAGGAGCCGGAGCGAGGCCTTCGGCACGGTCACGCCGTGCAGCACAGACACACTGCTTTCTCGGCCCGGCCCCCGTGGGGGACTCCTCAGGGTCTGCCTCCCATGTTCCCCAAATAGGGGGCTGTAGGGGAGGCACACTGGTGCCCACCAGCTTTGTTCACACCTTCCTCTGGTGCAGAAGCTGGCATGCAAGTCCCTCACCGATGCTCTAAAAATGCCACAAGACACAGAGGAGGAGTGAGTGACAGAGAACACACCTTAGGGACCTACAGCGGCACCCGCTGACTCCCGTGGAGGGTCGAGATCAGGGCCAGGCTCTGGCTGACCCACAACGTTAAGAACATTTGCAAGGAGGTGACAGGACTGGTGATCACGAGGGGCACAGCTCAAAGACGGTTCTGCTCCTTCTTAGAATCTGAACCCTAGTCTCAACTGAGAAAGTCAAAGGTCGTGAGATCAGAAGTCAGTAGGTGAGCAAAGGTGCTGGGACAAAGCAGGCAGGACTGTGAAGAGGAAAGGGGCTGAACACAAAGGAAGGAGGGTGGGGATGTACCCTGTCCCAGCTCTTGCCAAAAGCCCGAGACAGGAGCTGAGCAGCAAAAGCAAGAAGTTGAAGGGGTGTGGTGGGCAACCACATCACACCCGGGGCTGTGCTCAGCGATGACAGGGCTCCGGTGGCTGAGACCTCCCGGAGAGAGGGAGCCCCCACAATGCACGAGGCCTCGCACAGCCGATTTGGGATGGAGGTCACGTATCACAAAGCCCCTTCTGGGCTTGGCCATCAGGCGCTGCGGCGCAGCAGGGCGGCCGACAACAGAATCCAACATCCCAGCAGACATCAGGTGGCGGAACGCCCGGCCAGGCATCACGGAGACACGGTCCCCTGACACAATCATCCCGCAGCCCCTGGCACAGACATCACAGCTCACAGCTCAGCGGTGTGTGGCACCAAAGGACGGGGCAGGGGGGCCTCGTACAGACATCATGGGGGGCAGCAACGCAATAACCACAGAGGTTTAACCTCGGCTATAAGCAGCCGGTGTGAGCCCCCTCAGTGCAGGTACCACAGGGCTCCCCCCGCAGGAGCACCCACCACAGGGCACAGCTCCCTGGCACGGGCATGACGGGGACGAAGCCACATGGGACAGACAGCATGGAGGTGCCACTGCACAGCACAGCCACCCTGGAACATAGGTTCCTGACACCATCCTCACAGACTTGACTCCCTGTGGCTGCCCTGGTACCCACGGCGAAGTAACACCCCAGTGCAGACGTCACAGACATGCAGCTGTCTGACCCAGACACCGTCAGTGTGACAGAGGGTCCCAGCGTCACAGGAGTGGAGCTGCCTGACCGACAGTCTAGAGGTGTGACTCCCCAGTGTGACCCCCCGTTACAGACATCACGGAGGTGTCCATCCCGTCCACCTGTACTGGGGACGTGTGCAAGGGCTGTGTGTCCCCAGTACAGCCATCACGGGGGTGTAATGCAGAGCAGGTATCATGTCTTGGACGAGATTCTGACCCTGGGTGACCCTGGGCCTCTGGTAACCCCAGCCCGCTGAGACAAACATGGGGGGCTCTGACTAGGGGACTCCAGAGATCCCGTGTTTGTCTGGGCCTGCTGTGTTCGTGACCCTGTTCAGGCCCAGCAAGCAGAACAGACAGAGGTGGACAAGTTGAAAAGACATTTCCTCCCCCAGAGAGCTCCCCCAGTGGCCCATGGACACAGGGACGTGGCTGCCCAGAGAGAGGGGCGACACAGGGACACACACACGCCGACACATTCCCGGGGAATTGCTCAGGCAGCCACGTGGCTGTCCGAGCAGGCCCTTTCCCGCGTCAGCTCCTGGCGTGAGCAAGCTGCCCCCCCCCCCCGCCACCGCGGAGCCCATGGTGGGAAGCGCCTGTCAGGGCAGTGCATGCCGCTCCCAGCTCCAGGGCCCCGCACTCAGAGTCCCAGGTCCCCAGGCAGGTCCCCACTCCTGAGGGCTCAGGGCTGCCTATGGGAAAAGGCGGGAGGGGATCAGGGAGGCGGGGCAGTGCTAGCCTTGCTGGGGTGGCAGGGAGCCCACTGGACCCGGCGCCACTGCGTTAAGCGCAGAGCGCCACCTCCGCAGGCGCCTGGGTGAGTCTGGGCTCTCGCTGCCCAAGCCGGACACGAGGCCGGACGGACACCTGCACGCCCAGGCCCGTCGCTGACCTGCGCTGTGGGCCATCGGCTCTGCCGAACTGACATCCTCAGGCAGGAAAACAACTCTGCTGTACAACAGAATATAATTAAATGTAATTTTTCTGCATTCGGAATGGTTTTAATATACCCTTTTCCTTTGCTCCATCAGTATAAAGCTGCCAAGCACCCTTTCCTGGACAGAACTGTCCTTTACTCTCAAATTTCGTCCTTGGTGTTAAAATGTCCTTTCTTATAGGAAATGATGGTGAAAGCAGACAGCAGTTATTTTTTTTTAAATCATGTCCTTACTTGGTAAAACAAAAAGCTGCCAACCCCATGCCTGGTCCCCAAGTACCTTGGAAACTGTACTGGTTCGTGAAACCAAAACCCCTAAGAGGCAGGGTCTGAGGGAAAAGGGGGGGAGGACAGGCACTGCACCAAGTCACAGGACTCAGTGACAATCGTCACGGAAACGCACCTTACACGGAGGTCCCGTCACCTCCACGCAGCCCGTCACCTCCACGCAGCCCCTGTCCCCTCCACACAGCCCGACCTGGCCACCCTGGTCAGCCCCGGAGTCCCACCCCCAGGGACCACGTGATGCCAGAGGTGGGGTGGGGGGTTCCCTGGCTGGAGAACAGCTGGGATCATTCAGACCTCCTCATGAATATGCAAACACAGATTGATTTGTTTCCCTTGGGCACGTGTTTTTATTCACAAATATTAATTAATCTCCAAATACCACCTGTTCCTCCGGCTTCCTCCCTGCCTCCTGCCCAGGGCAGGACCCCGCTCCCAGGAGGCGGGGGCCCCAGAATGGACGTCGGCGGTGGCGGAAGGAAGGGCACCCAGGGCCCCATGGGGCGCCGGCCAAAGGGAAAGGCTGGCGTTTGAGCAAGAGGAGCCCGAGGGCGGGGAGGGCTGGAAGCTGTTCTTCTTCTGATCGGCGGGCAGCTAACTGAGCCCTTTTGTCACGTCTTGGACAGTCCACCGCGTGGCACTGCAGCAGCGGCCACGGAGGCGGAAACGGGCTTGTTACACTTGGGAGAGGAAAACCAACATGTTTCCAACTCTCACCAAACCAACCGCCGGATTAGGACGAGAATAAATCGAGGGCTCAGCCCGGACCCTGCTCTGGGGAAGGAGCCGCCGACAGCAGGCTGCCTTCTTCTTCCAGCCAGGGACCGGCGTCCGTGAGCGCAGCCAGGAACAGCCCGCCTGCCCTGCCCATTCTCAGCCCTCAGCTGCTGAGCCTCCCCTGCGCGTGCAGGGGGATTGAGAGAGGGTCCCGGAGTCTCCAGCAGGTAGGGGGCCCAGGGCTCAGCACAGGCTTGGCTCCGGGCTAAGGGACCAGCAGAGGCACCTTCCTACAGCTACCATCCCCAGGCCGCCAGCCCTCGGCCTCCTTCCCTGGGGAGTGGGGCCTCCCTTGGGGAGTGCTCCCCAGCGTGGCTGCCTGCAGCCTCGGCACTTGCTGCTCTCTGCTGGGAAGAACGCCTTTCTCCTGCCCCAGCCACCTACTCACCCTTCAGAACTCAGCTTGGGTGGCCCATCACTGAACCCCTGGTCCTCCCCAGTTTTCCAGACTTGTGCGGCTTAGTAAGGCAGCAAGAGGTGATGCAGCCCAGTGGTTACCAAGCCAGGGCGACTCTGTTCCCCGCAGGACACTACACAACGTCCGCAGACACCTGCCAGCACTGAGGACAGGGCGGGGGGCAGGTGCTACTGGCATCCCGTGGGAAGAAACAGGGATGCTGCCAGACATCCTCGAGACACCCTGTCAGAGGCCAGCCCGCCACCACAAAGGACTGCCTGGTCAGTGTCATCAGTGCTGAGGTTGAGAAACCCTGATGGAGACAGCAAGCTCTTTTGTAGACATGGCCTAGGGACTGCCCTGGCCCCTGCCCCAGAACCTGGTCCCCGGCGAGCACCCTGGGGCCCGCACCCAAAGAGGCTTCAGCCTGACTCAACTCCTGTATTAGCTGTCCGCGGGCCTCCGGGTCTGAGAGCATCACCCCACCCCATCCCCACCCCACCCGCCTCCAAGTCAGCCTCGCCTCCAGAAGCTGAGCTTTATAGCACACCCCACCCCTTCACACACAGTGGCCTCCCCAGAAGACAGGGGGCTGCACTTTTAGGCGCCTTTTCTGGTAAGGCCGGGCTCCCCAGTAGGTGAGACCCATTGTCTCAGAATGGGCAGGTAAAGGGACGCAGGTATTCCCACACCCATCCTCCCCACCTGACCTTCCTGACCTGTGCTGAGTCCCTTCCACCTGCAGCTTCTAAGTAACCACAATGTCCACCTCACCACACGCAGGACCCGGCCCCCAGCGGATACCCGATACACACTCACTTCCCTCCCCTGCCCTTTGCTTCCGTGCCCTGTGCCTTCGTCCGTCATTGCAGAACGAGGCTCTGAGCCAGGAGGCAGGGTGATGAACAAGACAGCCCTGGGCTCTGCCTTAAGGAGCTCACAGAGGATGGCCCAACGGGAAGTCAAACTCCCCATCCCACTCTGCCTCCGGGTCCCCATGTCGGCAACAGGTACCGTGCCGGCCGGGCCTCCTCCGATTCTCTCTTCTCCTCACCCCACGTGTCCAGCTGCTCAATACGGTGGGTTTTTTTTTTTAAATTTTAAAAGTATGTTTATTGATGAGAGAGAGAAAGAGAGAGAACATCAGTTGGTTCCCTCCCATATGTGCCCTGACTGAGCAACACTGGCCAGGGCTGGTCAGTAAGTTCGAATTTGCCCGGCACCCATCCCAGCCACCACATTGGTAAGAGCTGCCACTGCTCACCTCTTAAGTGGGCTCCATGCCTTTGGTCACTCCTTCCAACCCGCCCTGCACACAGATCACACCGCCCCCTTTAGCTCACAAACATGCAGATCTGATCACGCCCTTCAAGCACGCCTTGCCTGCTGCTTTTTTCCACAGCGGGCACACAGACAGCGTCTTGTAAGTAGTAGAAAGGACAGGAGATGGTAGATGGACACATGGACGCTGCTTCTCTGCTTAAGGATCTTCAACGCCTCCACGTCACCCTCAGGAAAAAGCCCCAGGTCTTTAGCCCGACACCCAAGGCCCATCATGCTGACTCCAACTTAATGCTCCAACTTCATTCCCTGCAACTGCAATACACCACTTGCTCTTCTAAAGGAAAGTAAGGAGGAGACCTCAAGGAGCAAGGAAGGGTGCGCCCGGACCTGTGGATAGCCTACTCCTCCTACCACGGCCAACAGCTGGTAAGAACAGGCTTCTCTACAGAAACACGGTGAGTGTAAAGGCAGACAGATCCCAGGACGCCACCGGGAAGCCTACTCCACATCCACAGCAGCCGACAAGCTGTGTATCGGTCCCCACCCACCCCCATCATCCACCCCAGTCAGAGTCAGAAACCCGGGCGGCATCCCTGACGCCGCCCTCCCTCGCGCCCCACATTCAGTCCTTCACCTCGTCCTGTGACTCCTCCACCTCCCTAGCCAGCACTCGAATCCCTGCTCTCCACCTCCATCACCACCTCCCTGACCCGGGCCTCCGTCATCCCTCTGCCACACGCACCGCGGATCAGGTCGTGCCCCTAGTGACACCCCTTCTGTGGCCCTCTGCCAGCCTGTGTCAAAACCCAAGCCACTCAGTCTGGCCCACAGGACCTCTCTAACCCTGCCCCCAAACCCCTGGGGCGCACTCACCCGGCCTTTGCTTGCTCACACCAGTCACTCTTGGACGACCAGCACCGAGGGCAGGGTGCCGGGGCCTCCGCTCCTTCCTGGGGAGAGAGGAAAGAATGACAACATCACGCGTTTCATCAGTGGAGTATGTACTGACACAGAAAGACAGTCAAAATGTGCTATTTATGCAGGGGGAGAAAGCAGGTGATGGAACTGTTTGTGAAGGACAATCCCCATTTAGCAAAAACGCCCTTCGCCGCTCGCTCACTCGCTCGCTCGCTCGCTCACCCATTTGATACTCCTGAGCACCTACTATGCGCCAGGCTTTCTTCCAGCCATGCGGCATCTAGATGTGAACATCCTACACCAAGTCCCTGGCCTCAGCAGGAAAACTGTGTCCAACCTCCTCAACGTAACCCTCCAGCCAGTGGAGCCGTCGGCACTGCCCGCCCCGGCAGCCCCTGCCAAGCTCCCCTCCCTCCCGGCCGCCAACTGCAAGAACGTCCTCTTCAGACTGGCGCATGTGCCGCATCCCTTCTAGTTGTCAGCCTGTATGTCTCCACCTGGAACGTTCTAGCCATGAGTTTCTAGCCAGTGACCCCTCAGGTCTGAGGGCCGATGGTACTCTCTCACGTGGCGTCCTAGACCGCATGCTGGGCCCTGCCTTGCGGCAGACGCCAGAAATGCGATGGTTTATTTACTTATACATTTGCTGAATGGCCACTGAGTCACACCTATAAGCTAGGTGTGTGTCTGGTTCAGCTCCGTACCCCTGGCACCCAGCAGAGAGCTGGCACATAGTAGGTGCTCCATCAAGGCTTGCTGAATGCGTGGATGAATGCATGAATGAGTTCTTGGAAAACAAGCCAGCCTGGAAGCACCACACCAGCACACATGCAGCCTTCAAAGAAGCTTCAGAAGCAGTATTTATGTTTGACTTTCTGCTTCTCTATAATTTTTAAAATGAAGGTGTGCCCTGGATGCCTCTTCTGCTGGCACGCATACAGCCTCAGAGCGGGCCCCTTCCCTCTAGAACCATCACTGAGTCTGCACCAGTGTGGGCACCGTCCTGGGTGGGGGCAGGGGCCAGACACGCCCACTCCACCTCATGGCCATCTCGCCATAGCTCAGTGCCTTGGTGCTGCTGCTGGTGCCCACGAGGCGCAGGCTACACCTGGCAGCGGGCTTCTCCTCAGCCCCCCTCCCCACACAGCAATGCCATCTCAGCTCCTCCCAAATCGGACGCACAGATCGGAGCTCAGGGAACACCCTCACAGCCCAGGCCAGCCTCCTGTCCCTGGGACTCACTCGAGACTGACAATTTCGTCAACATGGGGGATGTCCTCACTGACTGAAGACTCACCAGCCCAGTACCATCCACACCTACCGTGTGGCGCTCACTCTCTCCTGTCTCCCTCACCCCCAACCCCCCAAGAACCAACAGCCCTGGGGCTCACTCAGAATGGCTTCCCTCCCCCAGATCACCGAGTTTCACCAAAAAGTTCCCTGTGGCCACTGCTCCTGGCACACAGGCTGCCAGGCAGGTCTGGCCAGACAAACCAGCTTCCGTATCCCAAACTCAAAGGCCCATTTGTCTGGGGATGCCCGCAGGGCCTCACAGTGCCCGACATGAGGTAGCTGTTGGCTCTACCGTTGCTCAGGGACCCTGAGGCAGAGGGGCGGAGTCCCCGGCAGAGAACAGCAAAGCCAGCAGGCAATTCGGCCGTGCCCACGGCCATACCAGGAGCACTGGGCCTGGTGCCTGCAGACTGGACCTAAACTGAGCAGGAGCCACACCTGCAGTATGTACCCCAATGGCCTGGAGAACACACAAACAGGTACTTGGAAAGACCTTAGTGCACACAGAACTGCACCAGGGCAGGGTTCCAGAACAGCACCCACCCGAAACTACACCAGTCCGGGAGCACACTGGCCCCCAAACCACCTAGAGAGCCACTCAGAATCACCCCTCGGTTTCACCAGAACCACGCCAGGCTCACCCCGGGACGAGCCCAGAACAATCACTGACTGCCAGATACACCCAGAGCACCAACGAGAAAGCTACTCAGAAAGAACTTGACTGGTACCGGAAACAGGTCAGAAATCTCTGCCTGGCACCCAGAAAGGCCTCAGAAGGGTGAGGTTGGCAGCCTGGACCAAAATCAGGTGAGACGGCCTTGGCGCCGACCCGAGGCTGGCCCCCACCCCAGCAGGGCGCTCCCTCGCCCGCCAGGCCTGCAGGCCGGCCTGGCAGCGGGACCAGGGACGAGCTGAGACCTGGAGGAGCAGCCCGCAGGCAGCGCCTGTGGCTGCACCAGGAACAGTCCCCAGACGCAGCAGCGACAACACTGCCGAGGAGTGGAAACCACTGTTCCTGGATCTGGAGGGCGGGGACACACACAGTCCTGGTGCGTCAGATGTGTCCCCGTCCCACGTCCGCCGGGCGCTCAGAGGAAGGCGTGAGAATAAAGAGTCTCGCTAGATGTCCAGGGTCCTGGCGGGCGGGGGACATGGGCGACTGAATTGCCCCTCCCGAGAGCCCCCTCCACCATTCCAAACCAAACACCGGGTCTCTTCCCCAGGGCGTCTTCCTTCAGTCTTCTCGTGCCAGCCCACCTGAAGGTCAGAAACACCTGAGCAACACACACAATCCCAAAAACATGATGAGGGATGAGGGCTGGGCACTCCCTTGGTTGAGCTCCCCCAACTTGCTAGGCTAAGCTCGGGACTGCAGCTACTTTAGGTGAGCAAGGGCCCCTCACCATCACAAGGCAGTTTTTAAAGCCCCTCCCCACATTCTGACGGGGTAGGGCTGCACCCCCACACTGATGAGGGCTATGGTGAGGACTGCTGACACTGAGACCGTGCTCACTGGATGCCAGGCCCTGTCCTAAGCACTCTCAGCACATTAACTTTCATGCTCATAACAACCCTACAGGGCACAGTATTGCATCGCACACGACACACGAGAAAACCGATTCGGAAACGCTCAGCAACTCGCTCCAGGTCGCACCACGGTTAGGTGGAGCTGACCCTCAGCAGTCAGAGACCAGAGCCGTGCTCTTGACCACTGAGGCTGTCTTCTCCCCACGAGCACAGCTCTGCCCTCACTCACTGTCCGTCCTTGCTCGGGCCCAGGCTTCTCTCTCAAACTCCAGAGGCTCGCCCCCACCCCCTCCTGCATGTCCCCTCCACCCCTGCCCCAACCTCAAATGCTGCATCTCAAAAGCAAGGTGTCCAACCATGAGCTCATTACCTGCCCCCGCCCAAACCGACCTCTCCTCCCAAGTCCCCAGCTGGGAGAAGACCCCACTCCATCACTCCCAGGAACCTGCACCCCTTCCTCTTCCCCACCCCACATCCAATGAACCATCCTGTCCTAGTAACTGTGCCTTCCAAGTGGCGCCAGGATCCTGCCCTATCCAAGCCCCCGTCAGCGCTCCCCGGACTTCCCCGAACAAACCCTCCTCCTCACTGAGCACCTTGGCTCCATCCATTTCCCGTAGCATCAGAATCTTCCAGAAACAAATCTGACAACACACTGCACACGTCCCACCCCAAGCTTTAATCCTTTGGGTCCCCCTTTCTGTGTTCTCCGAGTGAAGTCTTAGCCAATTAAGGGCATTCAAAGCCTTCTGTGCTCTACTGTATCTCTGAATACTCCACAAGTGACAAGACCTCTGAGTCTTCACTCACATTATTACTTTTTTCTTTTCCCTACCTGGAGCACCCTTTCTTCAACTGAAGAACTCCTATTCACCTCTCAAAACCCAATTCAGATAGCCCCTTCTTGGTTTCCTCTGGGACTTGTCTCACACTGACCCCTGGATTCTCCTCTGCATTATCATGTTGAATCCCCCGCAGCTTCTAACCTCAGCTTAGAGTTACAGCTGCCTTAGGCGAGCTAATGCTGAGCTCAACCTCAGCAGCTACTAAGGGGTGGTGGGTCGCCTCTTCTACACAGCTAGCTGTCAGTCCCACAGGAAGCGAGGCAGCCTGGCTGAAAGTGCCTAGCCCAGGGTTTGGCACACAGTCGGCAATCAATAAGAGGTTACTGAATTGCTCTGCATTCCCATGATGCAGTCTGTTCCCCCAGGGACCATGAGCTTCTCAAGGGCAAGGCCCAGGCTGCAAGCTCGGTCCAAGCACACAGCAGTGTCAGCCACACGAGAAGCGATACCCCTGCTGCCGATGCACCACCCCACAGTTCCCTTGGATTCTCACAACAGCCGTGGCACCTGACCAGGGTCGGATTAGCGGCTCCATCCTACAGGGGGTAAAACTGAGCCTCAGGGGGGAAGGGCGCTTCTTAAGATCTTAAGCTAGAAAGTGGGAGATCTATGTTGTGTGTCACAGCCTCTGTGGAGAAGGTCGGGGTCCCCCCTCCTCCTGACCGAGGGCCCTCAACAGTGGACTCCCAGTTAGCATGATGGGAGGGGCAGCACAGATTGCTGGGGCCAGCATTTTGTTGCACACCACTGCAATCGCCAAGAAAAGTTTTAGGCAGTCCACTACTGTAGCCCCCGGCCCAAACCGCTTTACCAGCACTCAAGTCCAGCCTCCCCTCTCAAAAGTCCCGATACAACATCCACCCTGACTGGGCACAAAGCTGGACTGAGAGGAGGTCAGGAGCTGCAGGCGGGAGAAAGGCAGGGAGGAAGAAAGAAATTATATTAAAACAACTTCCTTGTTAAAGGAAAGACAAGAGGGAAGAGGAAGAGCAGTGAAATAGAAAGCACCACTAGAGAGACATTGCAAATCGTAAGGAGGACAATGAGCAAGCAAAAGTGTGCAATAAAGTGTGCTTGAGGATGCAGCAAACTGCGAGTGTGCACACACCCCTTCCTGGATGTGCACAACATCACTGTGGGAGCACAAGCAGGAAGCGCTGCATGGCATGCAAGCACAGCAGATTCCAGACCTCTGGCTGCCATGCAGCCCAAGTGTGCAAAAAACTGTCTGGGCAGGAAGGCCAGTGGATGTTGTGTGTGTGTGTGTGTGTGTCGGGGGCAAACTGAGTGTGGGAATGAGAGGGCTGTGAGTGTGTGGCCTGTGCTTGGGGCTGCGGATGGCGGGGGGGCTGTGCTTGGGGGAGTTACAACTGCTCCTTCTTGAGGCCCTAGGCTCATTCATAGAATCAGTAAAAAACTGGGATTTTCTTGCTCCCTGAAGCAAGAGTTAGTCAGGAGCCAAGCATAGAATTTCCTGAGATTTCCTGTTAGAACCTTCCTCTGGATCACATCAGATCCCTGCTGCCTCCCCAAGGATCCCTCCGCAGGTCCTTTCTCTTCTCAGGGGATTCCTCACCAACAAAGACCCCACTGGAAACACCACCGGGGCTCCTTTTCCAGGCCTCTCACTCCCATGCACTTCCTGGATTCTCCGGCCAGATCCCACACCAGGTCACTCTGGATCCCCGCCCTAGTCCGTTCAGTAGCCCAAGTAGAGCCTTTATCACCAACAGTCGGCAGTCCAGCCTCCCAGCTCTGCCTCGCTGCCCCCAGGGGAGTCCAGAGGATTCCCCTCACACTGGCAGCCTCCCTTCCGTTTCACAGCTCACACAGGGGCAGGACTCCCACTCCCCAACCTGTTCCAGCTCTTGGGGGGGATGTTGAAATAGGGAGAAAGGCCAGCCCCTCCCCCACCCTGGGGTGGAAGAACCTGAGGGGCAGCATTCCAGAGAAATGGAGAGGGGGCCTAGCAGAGGGGTGTGGAGACTCGGGTCAGTGGGAGACAGAGACACCAAGAGACTGGTGAGAGACACGACAGAGAGATCCGGGAAGGGGGACTCAGAGATGTGGGCGAGGACCACAGGGAGCCCTGAGGAGGGGGCACAGAGAGACCCGGGGAAAGAGAACAGAGACCTAGGGAGGGAAAGCAGAGAGACCTGGGGAGAGAAAGCAGAGAGACCTTGAGATTGCGGGGGCTGGGGGGCGGGGGGGAGTTTGGGAGGCAGTGACACAGGGAGACAGAGATACAGAGACGTTGAAGGGCAGAGATAGAGACCGAGACACAGAGGAAAAGGGATAAAGAAGCGGAGAGGGAAACGTGGGCACCGCGATGAGGACCAGGGCACACCAGGACGGGACGGGACGCGGGGCGGTGACTGAGTGAACTTTCCGGAGCGGGTCCGAGTGGACACGTCCTCCCGGGACAGGGCGCTCCAGGGCCATCACGTCGCTGCACTGGAGTGGGGGTGGGCACAGCATGTCCCGGCCCCTCACCAGCCCGCGCTGGTGATTGAGGGGGGTGAGGGCTCCAAACTCGCGCCGGCGCACCCCGGGACCGCACGTGCGCCGGGGCCGCGAGTGAGACTGGGGCGCGTCGGCTGCGGATCCCCTGCCGGCTGGGAGGGGGCGCCGGTGCGGCGGGGGCGCGGCCTGGACCCGCCCGGGGTTGGGGTGGTGGGAGGTGGGAGGTGGAGGGCCGCCCCCGGAGCGCGTCGGCGCTGGTGGAAGGGGGGAGGTGGGGTTGGGCCGAGGAGGGAGAGCATAAATGCAAAAGGGAAACTTTGCTCTGGGGGGGAGGTTCAGATTGCGGCTCAGGTGCGGCGAGGAGGCCGGTCTAGGCGGGGGAGGGCGGCAAGGGGCCGGCTAGCCCGCGGCGGTGGGGGGCGCGTCTGCCGTGGGGTGAGCGCGGGGAGGAGCCGCCGGGTTGGGTGGGGGGACTGCTGAGCAGAGGCTGCGGGCGAGGCAGGTGGGGGCGCGGCCGGGCCTCAGCGGCGCCCCTAGCCCCCCGGGACCGCCCCCATCTCCGTTGGGTAGACGCGGGAAGAGGGCGGGGGGAGTGAGGAAGGAACCTATGCGGAGGGGATTGGAAGGGGGCTCGGGGGTCACTCACCGCCTCTCCAGGGGCCGTCGGACCGCATGTCCCCCCCAAGCCGCTGGGCCGCTGCTCCCTCTCCTCTTCTGCCGCCGCCCCGGGGTCCCACTCCCTGGAGCTAGAGCCAGAGCCCTAGCTAGAGCCGGAGCCGGAGCTGGAGCCGCCGCCTCTGCCGCCGCCGCCACCACCGCTCCCGCCGCTCCCGCGCCAGCTCCAGCCGCGCGCCCCTGCTCGTGCCCGGGCCCGCGCCCGCGCCCCTGCCGTGCTCGTCCCCGGCTCAGCCCCTCCCCTCGTGCACTCTCGCTCTTAGAACCGCGGAGCCGAGTAGGCCCAGGGAGGCCACAACCCAACCCCGACTGCACACCGACTGGAACTCCCTATATTGAACCAGAACCCCAATAATGAGCATGTACAGTTCCAAACTCCCACACGAAGTCCAGATCCTATTAGCGGACTTCCCGATTCTAATATGATCCCCTCCCATAGTAATGTGAACCCAATTCTACCCCATTGCCTCCCCATACTGATCTGAATCTAATGTTCAGCCACCCCCAAACTCAAAAAATGAGTTTAAACCCCTCAGTCTGCCCCGAAATTGGCTCAAGTAATGATTTAAATCTGAAGCCCCATATCGAGCCCAAAGAACGATTCTGACTCTAAATCTCCTTGTCACCCTTAACTACTAGCTTGATAGGACCAACCTGGTCCTTAAATGGACCCCAACACTAATACTGAGCCACCATTGCTAAACAAAACCTAATATCCAATAGCTGTTATGAACCCCAGTACTTTCTGCTGAACCCCAAACCTTACATAAAACTCCTTCTGATCCCAATCCCAGATCAATGCCAACACACTTCCTAAATTGGGATACCCAATTTCTGAACTGAGATTGGGTCACCAGAAAAGAACCTAATACAAGTACTCACTTCAAACCACGCACATCCTTGGCGCCATTTAGGACCCTAACTTGACCCAACTCTAGTAATAATCTTTGGAACCTAAGATTAATGAGACAGGCTTTGCAGAAACTCCATGCAAATCCACTTCATCCCCATACTCACCCCCTACTTCTCTGACCCAAGGTCAGCCCCCAATCTAGGCTTGGCAACACCCCAATATTTATGTCAATTTCACCTGGGAAGCTGAATCAAGTCTAGAGTTGGCCTTTGAATTCAGGACTTGATAATGTCCACCAAACCTGGTAGAAACCATGGTATTGAGTTTCTGACTCCACAAACCAAAGCCATATGCTAACCCTGTAAATTTCTGTGCTAAATCACTAACTTATTTGAAGATTTATTCTGCCCTGACTCACAGGGACTCGGCGAGCTCCAGAGCTAGAGTCACACCTTGGCACCACAGCCCCCAGCTCCAGACCCACCTTCCTAGTCCATGCCACCGGCACACCAGTCGTCTCCTACCTACCCCTGGATGAAAGATGGGGGACCTACCCCTACTGCCTTCGGTCAGGTGAGAGCCCCTGTGGAGTGATTGATCTCCTATGGGGCCTTCCTGATATGTTTGTGGAGTTTGGGGGGTCGGAAAAGAAATGAAGTTTGGGAATTGTTGAAGCCCCTGGATTCAGGGATCACAGTGTAGTGTACAGGGCAGGGGTGGAGGTGGTTTTTAAGGATCCAGGCTGAGGGGTCAAGTTCCCATCACCTAATTCACTGCCTGCTTTTTGCCCAGAACTTGGATTCAGCAACAGTGCATGTGCGCCCCCTGGTGTGCAAGAGGGGGATGGGACTGGCTCCAGTGACTGGGCAAACAATTAGATCCTGATAACCAACGGATCAAAAATAAATACTCCCAGCCAGGGGTGTTTTTATTTTATTTTATTTTATTTTTTTACCCATTAGTAATTTTGGTGTACTGTGGGGGAGGTATTAAAAGCTTTATGCAGCTTTATACATTTTTGCCAGTGTTCCAGAATTTAGGCCGGATGTTGGTTTTTGTTTTGGGGCTCCCCCCCCCCCACCCCCGCCCTCTTCCAATTTAACAAAGTATACTTTTCAGCCAGTTAAGCCTGCTCATTGCTGACTTGTGAAAACAGTCCTTCCCCTTGGCTGCCATGGTCTGGACTCTCCTCACTGCCCACTCTGTCTCAATCTCCTGTACCATATCCTGCTCCTCCCCACGGCTGTCCTCACTTCCCCCTCTCCCTGGACCATCTCGCCCACCCACAACCACATATCCATGACTTCCCAATCTCTGTCCCCAGTCTGGGCCTCTCTTCTGAGTTGAGGACCCACACAACCAAGAACCTCCTTCATGCCCCTCCCCGCACGTCTCTCTCCCACCTAGATCTGCGGTCTTCAGTGGTCCCCAGCTCAGGCAGCAGCACCCTCATTCACTCAGTCATCGGGCCGGGAATACCTTCTCTCCTGCGTCCCTGTTGAATTAGCCACCAATCCTGCAAACCTTGAAAAAAACAGAGACTAGAGACCATGTGGCCCTGTGAGGAACACATCAGACAGAGTTAGGCGGAGGAGCAGGGAAAGAACGAGAAAGAGGATGGGGTGGGGGACAGAAAGTGTCAGACGTTGGGGTTTCAGACCACACAAAACCAAGTTGGTCATAAACTCTCTTGCGCACAGTCCTAGGAGACTTAAGATCTCTTCAGACTTGCTCTGTGTTGAGTGGGTTTCAGTGCCTTGAAATCATTGGTGTCTGTTTAGAACCATCACTTCCCCCCAGAAGCCATCCCCAACCCCTGGCTGGGTGTGGGGCTTACCTGCTGAAATTCTAAGCATTGTGTCACTGCTACCTGTGTCTGTCCCCCGACCCCACACACTGTGGCTTCCTTGAGGGCCGCACACTGTGCGCTTTCTTGAGGGCAGGAGGGACAAGCCTGCCTTGCCCACTGCCATATCCTCGTGGCCAGCATCAGGACCCGCCACACAACAGGTGCTCCATACATATATGTGTTAAAGGAATGAACAGGTAGCTTTTCCCTTCTATGTTCGGGGACCCACCAGACGTAAGCGACTAGGTGGGGAAAAGCTCCCTGACCAAGCCTCGGAGCTCGCCCACACCTGGGGCTTCTGTAGGCCTAGCCTGAGCTGAAGAGGGGCTATGGTGTCTCCAGACTTGTGTGTCTGCTAGCCTGGGATCTCAGTAGGTCTGTGGCTCTGGCGGCCTGGCTCCCTCTGCCCAGCACTGCTGGTCTGTGAACATAATACTTAGAAGGGCGGTGGGCAAGAGGTCCTTACACTCCTGCGAATGAAGTAGGCAGCCCCATCCACTGCTGCGCTGACCGGGCTCTTGCTTCAACCCCCATGCGACACAGAGGTCTCAGAACTCCACCCACTGGTCCCTAGGCCTTGCTCACTCATCTTTCAGTACCACTTGTGGTCCAGTGTTTGCTGAGGAAGGGTGCGAGACCGCCTGTGAGCAGGCTGCCCAGATCTCAGCACACCCGTCACCTGGAACTGGACACAAGGGAAGGCAAAAAGCCAGAAGCCCAGGCCCTGGGAACCACACAGAAAATAACCTCAGGTGGCCGGGCCTGTGAGTGTATGACAACCTAGAGGGAAGGGGAGGAGCCGAGGCTTTGTTCAGACTGCTCAGCTCTGACCACCGGGTCTGTGTGGGTCTGACTTCCCGGCCTGCTCCCTGGGCCACCGGGGAGGGATGTCCTTGTGCTCGTCTGTGAAGGCCGAGCAGTGCCACGTGGTGGCTCTGTGTCTGCTGTGTCCTGGCCCCAGGGTGCAGGGCGAGGGGAGAGCCAGATGTCAACTCCTCTTCACTGTTCACCCTTTGTCCCCTGGGCCCGCTGGACACTGCCCAAACTCATGATGTAAATACATCTTTTGGTCTAAATAAAATTAGATTCAGCTTGAGCCCCTACCCTGACCAGATTGGCAAGGATTCCACATCACTCACAGCCCTCCTTCACCTCCCTCCAATTGTCCAAGAACTCCGGGGGCTCACAAACCCCAAAGGTGGTCAATCTGTGCCCAACAGCCTTGTGGGCAAAGGCTGAGGTCTTTCTTGGATCACTGCTGCTGTCGCAGACATTAGCTGTCACTGTCATGGGGCTTCCACTCCTTGTCCCCCATCTGCAGGACCTCACTTGTCCAGCTGGGTCCTTCGGAAGGGGACTCCCCTACTCTTTTCAGCCCAAGCTCGCTCTTTCTCTTCTTTCCTTCCTTCCTTCCTTCCTTCCTTCCTTCCTTCCTTCCTTCCTTCCTCCCCTCTCCCCTCCCTTCCTCTTTCTTCCTTTCAGATTTTATTTTTAGAGAGAGGAGAAGGGAGGAAGAGAGGGAGAGAAATATCGATTAGAGAGAGAGGAACATTGATCAATTGCCTCTCATACACTCCCGGTTAGGGACTGAACCCATAACCCAGTCATGTGCCTGACAAGAAGGGAATCCAACCAGCTGCCCTTTGGTTGGTGGGACAACACCCAACCAACTGAGCCACACTGGTGAGGGCTCATCCCAGGCTCTTTCAAGGGGGCCATGCCTATAGGCCTGCAAGGTTGCAGGCCTTGGTCCTTAGCATTTGCAGTGACCCACAGCCACCTTCCTGGGGGCCGGGGGCCATGTCAGGGTGGGATGGGAGTGCCGGCTCTGCCCTCACTTCCATGCTGGAGAGCCGACTCCCTAAGACGCAGTGGTGCCCTCCCTCTTGGCCAGTCAGAAGGGGCTCTAACACCAAAAAGGCAGAGCAGTCTGTGTGCCTTCTGAGGTGTGGGGTGGGAGAGAGAAAGGCCCACGGAGCACAAAAGCCCAGCTAAGACCCTTCAATCCTTCCTGAGTCATGGGGTGGGGGTGGGGGAGATGAGAGAGGAGTTAATTTCTCAATAGGACACTCTGTTGGTGACTTTAGCTCAAGCTTCTCTGAGAAAACAGGAGCCACCAGAGAGGACTTCCTCCTCCCCCCACTACCAAACCCACCCACGTCTGTGCCTTCCCCTCTGGTTCCCAGGAGCGTGCGCCCCACCACAGTGGGGGCTGGTCCCCAAGATGCTCTGGCTCCTCCAGAATTCTGCTTTTCTCCCTTTACCCCTCCCATCCTCTTTGCTATATCATTCCCATATGCTCATAGTTATTCTTAATTTTTTCCCATCCTAAAAAATAATCTGCTTCCTTGACCCGCCCCCCACCTCGAGTGGGAGAGACTGAACATTTCTCTGCTCTTCTCACGACAAATCCAAGAGCTGTTTGTACGTGCAGTCTCCACTCTCCCATCCCCTGCTCGCACCCAGCCCACGACAA